CCCAGTATGTATACAGGACGTATTATGACTATGACAATCAGATTATTGATAGGAAAAATTCAAATGCCCATTTTGTAATGTCCCAATAAAATTAATGTTAATCTTATTATTTCTGCATCAAATTTCCTAATTAATTTTTAAAAGAAGTAAATGATGGCCTGTTGTCTTCTGAAGGGAAACAACCACATGATTTTAGACAATAAACAAACATCTGCACAATACTTGAGAGTTCCACAGATGTGGAGCCTAGCAACAGACTGAGAAATCTGTGAAGAAATCTGTCTAGAAAAGTTAGAAATTCAAAATGGCACTATCCTGAAAGGACATTGTGCGCATCTGTTGTCATGAAAACTCACAGAATCACAGAATGGTTGAGGTTGGAAGGGACCTCTAGAGATCATCTAGTCCAACCCCCCTGCTCCAGCAGGGACACCCAGAGCATGTGGCACAGGGTGGCATCCAGGCGGGTTTGGAAGATCTCCAGAGAAGGAGACTCCACAACCTCTCTGGGCAGCCTGTTTATTTTCAGTTTGCTTGTCACTACATAGTTTCACAGCACCCCATTATGCACTTCACAAGGTAATGCATGCAGTAAATCCTTATACAAAATAAAAGTATACAAAATAATCTGATCTTAATTGAAAGTATTTTATATCACACCTGTTCATAATTATTATACTTAACTGTTCATCTATATTAATTCCAATGGAAAATCTGAAAGCATTTGGTTACTACATGCCACTAAGAATCATAGTATAGCTGAAGCTGGTCCATCATTCAAGCAGAAAGATAGTGCATCAGGTACTGATTTTTGAACTCACCTGCAGGAGTAAGTGGAACAGGCAGATCTAGTGTCTCAAGTTATCTGATCTGAAACTTCAATAGTTTGCATGTCAGCTGATCTTTTTTCTTAAAAATTTCTTATATGTGAGAATGACAAGGCTTAGATTTATCATCTTTGCCTGAGAAGTGAATTTGGTAAAAAGAACAAGATATTTCAATTTCAAGCAACCTGAAAGAAAATGTTGCTTCCTGCGGTCTAGGAAGAACCTCTGAACTCTTTCCCTTTTCCCTCTTCTTTTGCAGTGTGCTCATTGAAATGGGTCTGGAGGACGAACAAGAGGAACAAGAATTTTTGGGGCAAGCTCATGCAAAGAAAGTCACATAGCTCCCCGATGTGTCAGAATTCCCAGTGACTCTACCTCTGGGAATTTCGGAAGTTCTCTACAGCTTTAATCCTCCTGACCCTGCCTAATGCCTCTTGAGGAGCATCCTACCTTCAGCTGCTGCTGCAGAAGGGTGATGGTCTTCCGCAGATCTTGTGCCACACCAACCAACCCCATAGAGATATCCTGGATATCTTGAGGCACTACAAATTGCATGAGGCTCCTATATCTGGGCAAGCAAAATGAGCTTTAAATGTCTATTAATAGCTAGGCATGGTCTAGGTAGTTAGACAGTGGGACTTAACCAAAGATTCAGTTCTACTCAAAGCAGACATCTAGTGGCTAATGAGCTACATTGCCCAGGCTTCATTAACTGCCCTTACTTGCTAGGGATGAGATTCAGCTGCCTGAGCTTCTAGTGCCATTCGAGATGTCCTTGCACATCCTAGCTGGCCCCCAGCTCATGCTCCAGAAAGGAATGGGTTTTGCATAGGTTTGATGTCAGCCCTATCTAGGTGTCCCGCATACCATAGGGCATCTCAAATGCCACTAGCCAACCTGTATCTATTTAAGTGAATTATGCCTTTTACCTTTGAACAGGTGCTTAGGTATCTAGCACTCAGTTAGACATAACTAGGCGAGTTCAATACCACAGGAATCCCAAACTATAAGACAATCTAATAAAAAATATGGGTTTTTTCTAGTCGTGATATTCCCTGCTGGAGCAGGGGGGTTGGACTAGGTGATCTGTAAAGGTCCCTTTCAACCCTAAGCATTCTGTGAGCATTCTCTGATTCTGTGATATTGAGTAATATTGGTAGGAGCTTTTACTGAAACACATCATTTGTGAAACACTATACTGATGTAAGATTTATTTTAAACAGTTCCTGTTTGCATCTTATGCCAGAGTTGCATATTGTGGAAATGGGAAATCCATTCTCCCTACTCACTGTGCTACTCACTGCTTCTCTAGGACGTATACAACTCAGTTAATGTTTTTGTTGGTACTGTTGTCATCCTTGTAAGTTAAAACTAAAGCATTCTGATTTTTGCACTGCTTAAATGGTGATGCAAAGCAATAAACCTGTGCCTAACCTATGCCAAATCCTCTACTCACTGATTTTCATAAATACCCAACGTGACAGTTTGTAAAAGCAACACCCGCCTTGATGACTTGGGAATGTTTGAAAGGACAGAACCTGGTGGATAGAAAACCACGTCTATGTTTTAATGTTATAAAAAGGGGTTTTATCCAGCAGGGATGAGGTCCACAGAGGGCACAGCCGCCGTCCAGCCACCCTTCCCCGTACACACAAACCCGCTGCGCTGCCTGGGTGTTCTCGCACGTCCCCAAAACAGCTGC